GTGGGGAGTGCCCGGCCCACCCGCCGTGCCGCCGCCTCCTCCGGCACCCAGGAATCCGGGCTTGGGCAGCAGAGCGCAGTGCGCAGCCAGCAAGCGCGGGGGCGACGGACTCTCAGCCCGCAGCCGGTCGCCGGGCGTTGTGGTGGCCTCCGAGGACACAGGGCTGCAGCTGCGACTCGCCCCGCTACTGGTGCCCCCGCCAGCGCTGCCGCCTCGACTGGGGCCAGATGATGTGGCCGCGAGCGAAGTGACCAAGGCCAGCGGCGCGCTTTGAGTGGAGGCGGCTCGTGGGGGATCCACCGCCAGCAGGGCGTCGATGCGGAAATTTTTGGATTTTTCCATCGGCTCGTTTGGGGCTGAGAATAAGTGCCCAAGGGCGGGCGACGCGGTCGCGTGAAGGCTTGCGGAGACTGAGCGTGATGGTGACCAGCCCTGGGGCTCGGTATTCTTACTGCGATTATTTGCAATAATCAAAGTCGCAGTCGGAAAACTCAGTCGAGAGCGACCATGGTCTAGACGCCTCTTCCTTGTGGTCCTCACTTGCGGTGACCGCGCTCCACTCACTGGTACAAACTCCTACGCGAGCGCTTCTGCGAGTTTCGGTTGGGGAGGCCGGTTCTAAGCTCTCAAGCGCTCAAGCGACAGCGCCGAGGCAGCTGGCGCCTTGGTGGGGATCCGCGCCCCTCCGCACACTTGAAGCTCAGCGCGGCCTGGGATTGGCGAGAGCAGCGGGGACCCGGGGAGGGGTTTCTGTCCGGCGATTGGCGGAGGGGCACACCTGTCACGGTCCAGTTCTCCTGCCGCCCCGCCCCTGCGCCCCCAGGTCCTAAGTAGCGGATGGTGAGAAGCAGTGGTGGGGGAACCAAAGATGGGTAGGGAGTTTGGAGGCCGAATACAGGCTTGCTGCTTCGTTGGAGCTGAGAGGGTGGCGGGCGCTGGTAACGTCGGTTCTCTGTGAGTGCCCCTGCACCTTGTTCTGCCAGAGGCCAAAATCTTATCTTCCTCCAGTAACCCTTGCACCCTTGCCAGAGTTGGGGATTGTTATGCACTGAGGAACTAGGTGGTTCCTCACCCCTGATGCCCACTGGGAGTTCAAAGCGAGACCTTGAGCTTGGCACGCTGAAGACCAGAATCTCCCCCCTTCCTGAGTCTTGGGCGCTTCAAGGTGGTTGGAGTCCCCGTTACCAACCCTTTGTAGGTAGAACCTTCAAATCTTCCCCCCCACGACCCCCGCAAAGTCTCCTGCGTCGCAGATGTTTGTTTCAAGGTTTCCGGTGTGTATAAATATGGTGTTTGACGCCCACAAATCTTTGTCAAGAGCTTACCCTTCCCTCTCCCCTACCGTCCCCCTTCCTGCGTCCACCTACCCCTGTCAGGGTGGAGAGAACAGTCTTTCAATTCTTCGAGTGAGAGATCCACGTTGGCTTGAAGTCGTTCGTTCAGGTGCCAGTGAGCCGGACCTAAGTGACAAAGTTCTCTTGGCCTCGCCTTGCCTCCTGGGCGTTCAGCGGAAAGGCTTTGCGGGAGTCTGCCGAGGGCTGCGCCCTCAGACTGCGCCCTCCCCAAGGCTCAGGGAGCCACATTCAGGCTCTTGCCTCCTCCTGCCGGCCGCGTCCAGGAAAAAATCAGGAGAGGGCTTCCGACTGAGCAAGATATAGAGTGTGACTCCAGACCTCACCCTACACACACATCAAATATTTACAATAAAAGAGCTTCCTTCCAGATTTTTTATTTTTATTTTTATTCTAAACTTAATCAGTAAGTAGGTTGGGAGATCAAGCGGTCATTAACAGGGTTTTGTCGCTAGCTCCATCCTCAAGTATCTTCCCCAAACAGGAGGAAAACGTAGGAGGGAGTTCCAGGTTCCTGAAGCTTGGCTACCCAAGCAGGGGAGAGGTTAATAAAGGGGCGGAAGTGGGTCAGGAAGGGGCAGGGGATCCCTAAGACAAGACAATCCGTGCTGGATAAACTTAAAAGTAATAGAGAGGGCCTGGCGGTTGTGGTGCACGCCTTTAATCCCAGGACTCAGAAAGCAGAGGCAAGCGGATCTCTGTGAGTTCGAGGCCATCCTGGTCTACATGAGTTAGCTCCAGAACAGCTAGGACTGTTACACAGAGAAACCCTATTTTTTAAAAAAAACAGCCCCCCCAAAAAAGTGTCAGGCAAGGCTGTTTTAGGAGAATATATTTTGGAAGATAAATATAAAGACTATACTTTTCTCCTCAAGAGTTTTTTTTTATTCCGGAAAAACTAACACAGTGGTTCTGTTAGGATGAGTGGGATTCCTTTTTCATTATGACAGGGTGGTTCCCAGGTGCACAGTCCTGGCTGGGAAGTCGGAAATAGAGCAGGAGCTACTTGGAGTAAATGCTACACAGATTTGCAAAGGCCAGCTGCTAGACACACACACACACACACACACACACACACACACACACACAAGCACCATGTCTACAAAGTTGCTGTCTTTAGGTGCTGTCTTTGGGGTGATTAAAATGTAGTCCTGCCTCTAAGTAGGAGCACTTCTGTTCCGTGAATACCTGCTGTGTTCTGTGTGTTTTCTCTAATTATCACCTTTAATCTTCATTATGATGCTACAAAGAGGGTTTATCATTTTTGTCTTCTAGAGCACAGGTCTGGTTTGGGGGACCACAGCTGATGCCCATGAAGCTTCTCACCTGTCTTTGTCCTGGTTCTTCATCCCACCCGGCTCTGTGGAGAACTGAGATTCCCTGCCTCTTCTCCGATGAAGGAATTCCAATTCAGGCAAGCAAGGATGCTGGGCTGCTTCCCCTTCCCAAGGTTTCAGCCTTTTCTAGATGAGAGTAAGCGGACTGATCCCAAAAGGAATTATTCAAGATGAAAGAGAATGACTACAGATGAGATTTCCCAGAGGTGGACCTCAGTGGACCTGCATCCTCTCTGACCTGCCACAGCAGAGTTATTTTTGTTGATGAGGGAGTGTTAGGTCTACTGAGTTTAGGAAAAGGTTTCTCAGTAAATTCATCTGAATAGAGGAATTCATTGCCTATTTGTTTGTGTAGGTGATGTGCTCCCAAAGCCCCTAAATCCCTTTCCACTGTCTGGAGTTTGAGAACCCACAAGATCATAACCCTTCCAGTCCCCCACCATCTGTGGGCTGAGTGAGACAATATCAAGAGCCTCTTTGGGCAAGTGGGAACTTTGCGTGCCAGACTTGCGTACCAGACTTAATGGATTTATTTCTTTGTCTGGCAAAGTGGGGGCTGAACCTCTGAAGTCAAAGGGTTTGAACATGATCATATATTCTGTTTCTATTTGAGAATAAATTAATGCACGTTGGAGGTGCTGGGTAAATTGCTCGCTGAGAGGCAGGAGTCAAGAGAATACTGGGAGTTATCTGGAACTGGGATCTTTGTGCGTTTTACAATGTGTGAAGTGAGCATGCTGGGTCTCTTCCTGTTCCCAGTGTCTATTGACCCAGCCCAGCTGGCTTTGGGGCAGTCTAGGACCGAGCTGGGGGCTTACCAGAAGCTCAGGGAGAGATCAAAGGTCTGGTCCCAGCAGAGTTCCCAGCCCTGTACCTTCAGGTAGCTCCCTTCTCCAGCTGCCTTAGGGACCCAATGAGGTTTTGGGGGAGAAGGGAGGGAGGGAGAACTCTTCTACCCAAAGGAGGCTGGGATTAAAGGCTGGTAAACTTTAATCAGTTTAGTCATTTTCTCTCCGTACCCAGTCAGGATGTCTTTTGGGGGTCTTGCATTAAAGTAAGTTACTGAATATAGCGTGCAATTGAGCCTCTTCTCATTACTGAAAAAGGAGAGTGTTGATTTATATAAACAACCACAAAAGAATAAGATGTTGGAGGGGGGGTTGATCAATGGTTCCAGTGGGTCCACAATTCAGAACTTACAAGTGTTGCTCTTGCAGAGGATTCAAGCTGGGTCCCCACACTCACAACCTCCTCCAGCTCCAGGAAACTCCTCCCTCATGGCCTCTTTGGGTACCTGCACTCACCTGTGTACCCACAAACAGACACAAACAGACACATAATTGACACATAAAAACAAAACCTTTTTTAAAAGAAAAAAATATGTACAATCCGTCTTTTACACCTGGATGTATGCAAGAACTCAGGACAAACCTACATGTGCCCAAGTTCACAGGTCAGGCCAGCACTGATTCTTTTACTCACTCATGTGCTTCCCTTCCTGTGGAATGCGGCAGGTACAATATACAATAGCCATTAATAAGAAAGCTAGGAGAGTGGAGGCGTGGCTGGGAGACTGGATAGAGGCCAGCCTTCTCTGTACCTCCCTCCGCACACCTGCCATTTGTCTGGCTGTTTCCAGAACTGAAACAAGCAACCCCCCTTCCCCGACCCTCAGCCTCAAGGAGAACCGCCCATGAAGATTGACTTCTCAGCCCTATTGAACATTCATGGGAGTTAGTGCAGTACAATTTCAGATTAAAATTTTAAGGCTTCCCTTCTGGAAAATGAGACTGGAGGATGTGGTGTGCTCACCCAGAGCCTGACTCAAGTCTGTGGTGGTAGTGGTGGTGGTATTTTCCCAGGCTATTTAAACTCAGGAGGACACAAAGCAAGTTCCGAGAGAGCTGGACCTGGAGGGAGACAGCTCAGCCTCCTTCAGGCCTGGCTGAGGAGGATGCTGTTTAGAATTTCGCTAATGTCTTACCTCCCTCCCCTAACCCTGCACCACCTGGGGACGTACAGACTCCAGGGGAGAGCCTGGGGTCACTGGAAGGTGAGATCAGGAACTAGGAAGGTTGGTGAGTTCTCCAGGCTCATCACAGACCCTGCAGAGCCTGAGGGCCAAAGGTAGCACCTCTCTTTTCACCATCCTTTTGAGCTGAGGACCTCTTCTCTGACTCCTCTCCTCAGTCCCTATGCCCAGTTCAGCTCTGAAAGGGGTGGTTTCCCAAGGTGTCTCAGAAGTAGCCCTGAGAACTACCCTGAGGTGAACTGCCCTTGTCAAGGACTCTAGCCAGTCCTTTGCTTTGTCAGCCCCTCCTCTGCCTCTCCAGGCACACCTGGATTTCCTGCCACCCTTTTCAGGAAGCATCCTTCACCCTCTCCTTCTCTAGCTGAAACTGCCTGGACCAGCAGGAACCCAAGCACACTAGGCCTTTCAGTCTCACTGGCAGCCATTCTCACTGGCCCCATTCCTCACTGAAAAAAAACAGGAGTCAAAAAGCATTTTCAATTTCCCTTACACATCCTAGAAGCCATGGGCCTGGGTCATAAAGAGAAACAAAGCCAACAGTGGTTACCTCAGTTTTTTTAATCAGCCAGGGGCGGGATAGCGCCCTTAGAAGAAATGACATACTTCCCAGGAAACCTGTGG